CTACCAGCTGTTCCGCGGGAGAAAGATGAGGCTTTCTGCTCCCGTAAAGATTTACAGCCTTGGAAACCCTGTGCAGGGTCGCTATGAGTCGGAATCGACTCCACAGCACACAACAACAACAACAACAATAGCTCTTGGCACCATAGGATAAGTATTTGACCCCAAGGGCAGTTTGAATCACAAAGTCAGCTATGCAAATCACTAACTGCTCCTCAGAAACCCTATACAAGGTCACTGTGAGTTGGAACTGGCTAGACAGCATGTAACAACAACAACATCCCAAATTTATTCATCGAGGTACTCCAATCCTTACCAAAATGGAAGCAGATTTTTTTAATGGAAACTGACAAACTGATTCTGAAATTTATAAGGTAATGCAAAGGACCTACCATAACCAAAATGATACTGAAAACAAAAGATCAAGTAGGAAGATTTACACCATCCAACTTCAAAACTCAATTTGAAGCTACAACAATCAAGAATAAGTAGTTTTGGGGTTCCATCTGCAAAATGTGCCCTGAATGTGGTTACTTCTCTCCGTTATCATTGGAACCATTGAAGTCCAAGTCATGAGATTGTGAAAGTGGACTGGGAAGGAGGAAAGATTGGGAAGAGTCTCAGATTGTGCACTGCCAGCCAGAAGTGGTGGGGCTTTGTTCCACCACCACTATGCTCGTAGTGCCTGAACAGTGCAGGAACTGAAAGAAACTACAGCTGGAGGGTGCACTTCTTGAGGCAAGTTCTCTCTAGAAGGGAAATCTGGGCAGCACACTTCCACATCTAGCACAGTATCCATTGTATTTATTTGGTGTTATTAAGATAAAACTCATTACAACCTGTGAGCCATGTCTCTTTGTGAATAAGACTCTATTGGAACATATCCCCACAAAAAAAAAAAATAAAAATAAACAAGGGAGTTTAGTGAAAGGGTGGATTATTGGAATAGAAGACAAAGTCCATACATAGAGCTAAACATTTTATGGCTAAATGATTTTAGATGTGGGTGCCAAAGTAATTCAACTTGAAAAGGCTTGTTAACAACTTGTGTTGAAACAACTATGTATACATATGAAAAAGAAACCTTGACCTCTACCACATGCCATATATACAAATAAATTTGAGATAACTCATGCACTGAAACATAAAATCTAATCTATAAAGCTTCTAGAAGAACAGGTATCTTTGTGATCTTTCAGCAGGTAAAGATTTCTTTGAGAGGACATAGAAGGCAGTATTTGTGAAAGAGGAAACTGAAAACTTTTCCAAAGATACCATTAAGAAATGAATAGAAGAGAGACAGACTGGTGAGAATATTGACAACATATATCTGACAAAGGATTCATCATAGACTCTTACAACTCAGTAGTAGGACAAACTACAACTGTTAAAAATGGGCAAAAAACTTGAACACGTGCTTCAAAAAATAAGTCATACAAATGGTCATAAAC